CACTGGGCTACTAGTTTGTATATAATATGTAACAATGTAATTATGTGATAATATGTAAGCAGTTCTATAACATAAACAAAAACTCAGGATCCCCTGTATCTTTTTGTTTTGTTTTCCTTAGTGTCTAAGTTTTGTTCTCAAGATTACCACAGGTTTTCAATGGCTGCCAGAGCTCCTCCCATCGCATCTGCATTTCAGTTAGAAGTAGTTTTGAAATCGTGGAGTACTTAACAGCTATTTTCACCAATCTAAGGAGTGTTTTCTGAAATTGCACCCAGCAATGCTTTCTTAAATCACTAGACCTGCATAGTTGCAAGATGAGATATTTGATCTGGGCACTTTGCAGCCTTGGGGAAAACAGGGGACTCTGTTTCTAAGTAAGAAAATAATGGAGATTGAGGAGGCAACTAGGTCCTTCACCATCTAATAAGCAACCTCCCAAATCTCATTTTGTAAAGTTAGTTGAGTTTGTACTCTCACAAAATAAGAAATAAAAAGGCATACAAACAGGAAAACAGCAATGGAGGAAAAGCTCAGGATGACAATGGCCTATCAGGCTAATGACAACAGTTCTGGAGCACCGTAGGGGAATGGTGGGCTCCAGAGGGAGTCTCTGAAGATAAAAGATTACCTGCATGGTATTGTCTGATTAACAGAATGGACTAACTTTGTGGCACAACAAAACTTGTTATTCAAGATAAAAGAAAAGTTAATATGAAATCTCCCCTGCAATTGCATATAAACAATTAATTCAAGTAATTATTTGAATATAAGAACATTCATCTTCTCTCAATGCTCCTAATATTCTCTTCTAAGTGTCTCAGAAATTATATTGTTGACAGAAGAAAAGGAATGTAATCTTAGCACTTATTAATAGTAATGTAATGTTTAATGGTTTTCAACTTTAGTCAACCCGTGGATAAATTGGGTAAGTCTTACTTGTGGATACAGAATGAATTTAAGTATTAACAAAAAAAGCCAGTATAAACTTAAAATACTAGCACACAAACAATGGGAAGTGGAAGGGTAGAGGAACTGTGGAAGGAAATATAGAGACACAAATATTTCAAACACTAAATATAATGTAACTAGAGGCCCAATGCATGAAATTCATGCAAGAGTAGGCCTTCCTTCCTCCAGCTGCCAGTACCGGGTTCCCTCTGGCACCTAGGACCTGGGTTTCCCTCTGGCTGCAGGCCCCAGCTTCATCTAGAAGGTCATCTGGTCTAATTAGCATATTATGCTTTTATTATTATAGATAGCAAATGAAAGAATCAAAATAAGCATTGAGAAGTGAATGGGGTTAAAAGTTTACTAAGCAAAACCTTTTTTTTAAATTTTAGGAAATCAATCAATACTATTTGGAATGTTGAAATAAGAGACATAGATGTATTATTTAGTTTTTGAAGATAATTGAAGGTAAAACAGTTTGTTTCTGGGCAGTGGGACTATAGTTTTGAACAGGTATGGGTAGGGCAGTATAGAAATCAGATAATAAGGTATAAGCTAACCTTATTATTTGATTTATTCACATGTTCATGCATTATTTTAATAACAATAAATATTACAACAATCAAAATAGCAATAAAGGAAAGCTTCAGGTATTCTTGGCAGTTTTACAAAACACAAATATTAGTAGGGAAGCCAGGTCTTGTTACTAGTATAATATGGGCTTCTCTCTGATGCAGTGGGCACCAGGTAGGACTAAGAACTGATGCAGCATGAACCTACTCCACCCAAACAGGAACTGGATACCTAACTGTGACCTCTAGTGAAGTAGTTTTACTAAATACTGAAGGAAGGGAGCATAGAAAATGTTCTTCTGCTGGACCACACTCTACTGGGCCTCTTTCCTCTCAGATGGTTGCACAACTTAATTTTTTATGTAAATTTAGATCAACCAGCTTGTTTAACATCTTTTAAAATTCTAACTATAACCAGGTTTTCAATAGAGGGAGGCAAGAACATTTCATATTTAAGGATATATATGTATCTTAGATAAATATCACATGGAGCACATAAAAAGATTCATGATATAAGAAAATAGATAATAGCAACTATTATAAATAAACACACTGTGTTTTAGAAGAATTATGACAGTAAACAGTAAAGTATACCCATTACTTACTGAGATACTAAATATACGAAAGGTTATATGATATATTAGCCAGGGTAGGCAAGGTATTACTGAAGTAACTAAACATTCAAATCCTCCATCACTTAAAATAGGAAGATGTTATTTCTTGCTTATACCACATCTAAAATGAGTTGACAGCAAGTTCTGTTCAAAGTTATCTTCATTCCAGGACCCAGGATGATGAACAAGTCACTATTAGGAGGGTTGCTGATCATAGCGGCATAGAGATTATGGAGAAGATTATTGCAAATGTTGCATGACTCTTGAAGTCACGTAAGCATGTAAGTTTTACATTTGTCTTTCATTCACATTTCATGGGTCAAACCAAGTCACATGGCCATGACTGATTTTAAGGCGAAAAGTACAACAAATTCTGTGACCTGAAACCCCCCATATTAATATGTGTGAATATCCTTAATGACTATCACATTAGGTAGTTGAAAAGCAATTTCAGAATTAAAATCACAAGTAGAAATTCACAAGTGAATTGATGGTTTATAAAACAATCAAATGATCAATTAAAAAGACAAGTAGTAATGATTCCCAAAGTGCAGAAGAAACATTTAAATACATAAAGAAAATAAGAATGAATACAGTGGATATTGAAAACCAGAGACAGTAGGTCCAATGAACCATGCAATATTTCTTATTAAAAAATAGAGGAAAAACAATAAAGAAGCTTTTCTGATCTAAGAAAGGCCCAAGTGTTTAGACTAAAATGCTCACTGAACAGTAGTAAAAGTTGATAAAAATATAAAAATGCCTAAACATATCCTGCTTTAATTTTTAAACCTCAAGAATAATGAAAGAACCTAGGTATTCAAAAATGATTTTTTTTTCTGAAAGTTAAACATAACCTACATAAAGAAAAGTGCATAAATTTCAATTGAAGTGATCAATAAATTATTCCTATGAGAATACAATTGTGTGACCACTACTCAGGCCAAGAAATGGAACATTCCCTGTACCATAAAGATATTTCTATCCATTCTACCCTGCAAAGGTATACACTATCCTAATTTCTAAATCTCTATCAGTTTTGCCTACTCCAATATTGAAATAAATGGAATCACATAATATGGATTCTCATATTTGACATTCTTCTCTTATTATATCATTGAGATTCCAACATTTGCTTTGTTGCAATTATATCAGACTTAGATTCATTCTTGTGTATAATTCTATTGTGCGAATATACTAAAATTTGTATTTATATTGTTGTCACTCTTGTCCCACTTCGGGCATCCATTTAGGCCGGGGTTCATGTCCCAGCATCAAGAAGGGTTCAGGAATCTGGAAAAGGGGCTGCGCGTATATGACATAGAAATCCAGAGACTAATAAAGAGTCCGGAGACGAGATATAATTTTGAAAGGCATTGGGGGTCAGAGGACCTTCAGCTAAAGGAACTGAAGAGTCCCTCCTTGTCTAGGACCCTTGCTTTTATTAACACACTTTGTCCTAAGGCAAGGTGGAGATAATACACTTCAAAGGGTAAGGTTTCAAAGGGTACAGAAGCCTACGGGTTGCTTTAAGACTATATTTTCTATGATGGGATGGGGAAATTAACTTATAGCGGTTGAAGTAAGAAACATATCCTTCTCATTTCTCGTCTTTAGCCACTTCCAACAGGTGACTACATGTGTGACTCAACCCTGTTGAGTCCCCAAGTTTCATCAACCTTTTGATGGAACTCTTAAAATTATGACATGCTGGGATTGGTTCCCGGCATATTTATTCTAAGTGCTGAAACAATTGATAAAATTGTTTCAAGTTGTTTACTATTTTTTATTTTCTTTATTGATGAAGGTATTACATATGTGTCCTTATCCCCCCATTACCCCCTCCATTTCCCCCACTCATGCCCTCACCACCCTGGTGTCTGTGTCCATTGGTTATGCTGATATGCATGCATACAAGTCCTTTGATTGATCTCTCCCCTTACCACCACCCTCCCCCACCTTCCCTCCAAGGTTTGATGGTCTGCTTGATGCTTCTCTGTCTCTGGATCTGTTTTTGTTCATCAGTTTATGTTGTTCATTATATTCCACAAATGAGTGAGATCATGTGATATTTGTCTTTCTCTGACTGACCTATTTCGCTTAGCATAATGCTCTCCAGGTCCATCCATGCTGTTGCAAATGGTAGGAGTTCCTTCCTTTTTACAGCAGTGTAGTATTCCATTTGGAAACAGCCTAAGTGCCCATCAAGTTGTTTACTATTACAAATAATAATGGAATCGTACATATTCTTGCTGTATATGCTCATATTTCTATTGGGTGTGAAATTGTAAAATTTAATACTCCTCTGTTACCTTTTTGGAAGCCACCTTTAAACATGGCTGCCAGCTATAAAATTGCAGTGCTCCTTCCTTCTCTTAGAATTCACATTCCCATCTCTTCTTTATTTTCTCCATACACTCAGTCCTCCTCTGTGTTCTACTCATTTACTGTATTTATTGTCTATAGTTTGCTCATTGAAATATAAGCTCTATTAAGGATAACATTTGTGTTTAGTTTGGTAATGGTTATTTTCTCAACATATAGAAGAGGTGCTCAAAAACTTTTGCTGAATAAATGTATTATGTTATATAGTTATGAGTAAGGCTCAATATCCCTTCATATGTCATTACACATTTGTATTTCCTTTCAGTACATAGACTATTTGTAGCTCATGCTACAAAATTCCTTCAGAATTTTACATGTGAATTTTGAAAATTAAGAAAATTTTCTGTTTATCTGTTACTAGTATATGTATAACAAAATTGTTTTCCATTTTGCTGTTGGCCTTTTGCCTTTGTTTATGGTAAGTTTTTAATATGTTTCATTTTCATGTAGTCAGTGTTAACTATTTCTTTTCTTTAAGGCTTTATGTCCAATTAAAAAAAGGCCTTTATTGACCTTGACCGGCAAGACCATCACCCTCGAGGTCGAGCCCAGTGACACCATCGAGAATGTCAAGGCCAAGATCCAAGACAAAGAGGGCATCCCCCCTGACCAGCAGCGGCTGATCTTCGCTGGCAAGCAGCTGGAAGACGGGCGCACCCTGTCCGACTACAACATCCAGAAAGAGTCCACTCTGCACCTGGTCCTGCGCCTGAGAGGTGGTGTCTAAGTTAATCCCTTTTAAGCTTTCAACCAATTTAAATTTCACTTTTCTTTCAATAAAGTTGTTGCATTCCCAAAAAACAAACAAAACAAACAAAAAAAGGCCTTTCTTATTTCAATATTATAAATAAATTCACAGCGATTTCTTCATAGATCTTTTATGTTTACTTTAAATATTTCATCCATCAAAATGTATTTTGTTTTAAGGAATGAGGTGAGGACCCAACTTTCCTTTTACCTGACATGATTTATAGAATCATCACTGTCTTCCTCACCAATTTGTGATGACATCATTACCATAAAGTAAAGGCAATCCTGTTTGAATCTATTTGCTTTTACTCTGTTTCATTGTTTTGGTCTATCTTAGCTCTAGTGCTGTTATGAACATTTATTAATCTCTGGTGCCAAAGTTTCAAAATTATTTTGCATTTGTAATATACTCTATTTTAAACTTGTATGACTTTCTACCCTTACTATTAATTTTTTTCTAATTTTATCTATTCTTAGAAAATTTCCTAGCTATCCTTACAGATTTATTGCTTAAAATGGACTTATATGGTATAACTTGGTTTAAATTCATACAGGCATACAAAAAAAAATCAAGGCCCAAACTGAAAACTACAATGAAAAATATATGCAAACAACCACAAAATATTCTTGGTATGTTAATTAAGATTGTGTTAAATGTATAAATTAGTTTAGTGAGACATTATATACCATGTGATTGTATTTTTCTATCCCAAAGTATTTTTAAGAATAAAGTGTTTTTAATTAAGGTATGTACATTATTTTTAGATATAATGCTATTGTACACAATAGATTACAGTATAGTATAAATATAACTTCTTTATGCACTGGGAAGCCAACAAATTTGTGTGACTCACTTTATTGTAATATTCACTTAATTGCCATGGTCTAGAACCAAACCTGTAATATTGCCAAGGTATGCCTCTGTAGGAATAACTGAGGGCTATTAGGCCCTTTTTGTTCCTCCTTTAGGACCCTTCCCTGGCCCTTGTCCTGAGAAGGTGCCCCCAAACCAGAACCAGACATGAAGTTACCTACCTGCTGTAGCCCTAAAGGCCCCTGGTCTAAAGTCTGGGACCTAAGTTCATCCCACCCAGAGCCTGGAATCAAGATTCCAGAGTCTAGCCAGTTCCAGAGCTTGGGTCCAGAGCTCAGATCTAGCCTGTTTGGAGCTGAATCTAGCAGCTCAGAGTTTACCCAGGATGGCTCCATGAGGAGTTCTGTTGGCTCTAAATAGACAGCCCCAGACTTGGGGTTCTTGAGATGGTGCTAGGGCCTGGGCCCTCAGGACTCTCACACACTCTTTCACATTCTGTCTGCAAGCCATTGGTTTCTAAATACATCACTTCGGTTCACCATATTTCTTTAACCATAGGAGATACATAACAAGTTCTCCAAGTGGTAACATAACTTCAAAGTGGAGGGTCACATGGCATTGAGGCCGAAGGTGGACATGGGACTCTCTTCAAGGTAACCTTCAGATTCAGTGCTTAATACTCCAACTGCTCATCTAAAATTGCGTGTTTTATTTCATATCCCGTTACCTAACAAAAACTAACACTTAAGTTTTTACTACATATCAAACACTACTCTATGAGCTTCACCCATGTTAATTCACCTTGGTAATTGTCAAGACAATTTTATCTTCACATTACTCCAGTTTTACAGATTAGAAAATTTACTCAGAGGGTGGTTAAATAAATTGCTTAAGGTCACACAGCCTGTAAGTGACGGTATCTTTTAGTCTTACTCAAGGGCTCGCACTCTCAACCAATGTGCTATGACTATGATTACAAGTATAACCCTTGTGATAAAGGTGTCATTTTAAACCAGGATAAAAAAGTTTTAGTTCAAAGAGTTAGGGTAATTGAAATATTATTCAAGAAAATTTAATGTTGTTACTTTTTTTCTTCATAGTATATGTCAAATGAACTAAAGCCTTGGATATAAAATGTACATTCTTTAAAATTAGAAAACATATTTTTTTAAAAAATTGAAACAGTATTTTCAATAGGGGAGATGGATTCTTATACATGAAAATAACAATCTAGCAGATTTGACCACAACCACTTAAAAAATCCTATGACACAAAATATCACAAACAAATGAAAAGACAGACATAAAACAGAGAGAATTTTATTATAGATTAACAGAAAAACCAAATGAATGATATAATAGGAAAATAGGAGGTAGCAACAAATACCTCACAGAGGCATCTATATAAAGAGTTAGGGGCCATTGCAACCAAATGGACGACCGAACAAATGACCAAACAGGCTGAGTGGGGTGACAAGGCCGGTAGGGGGGTTAGTGAGGGACAACCAAATGACTGAGCAGCAGGCTGTTTGGGGCAACCAGGCTGGCAGGGGGGTTAGTGAGGGACGACTGAACAGCAGGCTGCATGGGGCGACCAGGCCAGCAGGGGTGTTAATGAGGGACACCAAATGACTGAACAGCAGGCTGTGGCAGGTGACCAGGCTGGCGGGGGGGCAGTGAGGGGTGACCAAACAACTGACCAGCAGGCTGAGTGGGGTGACCAGGCCGGCAGGGGGGCAGTTAGGGGCAACCAGGCCAGCAGTGGGGGCAGTTAGGGTGACCAGATTGGCAGGGGGGGCAGTTGGGTGGCAGGCAGAGGCAGTTAAGAGTGATCAGGCTGGAAGGGGGCCCAGTAGGGGCAATCAGGCAGGAAGGCAGATGAGCAGTTAGGAGCCAGCGATCCCAGATTGTGAGCGGGATGTCCGGCTGCCAGTTTAGGCCCGATCCTGAGGATTGGGCCTAAACCGGCAGTCAGACATCCTCCAAGGGGTCTGGATTGAAGAGGGTGCAGGCTGGGCTGAGGGGACCCCCCACCCCATGCACGAATTTTGTGCACCGGGCCTCTAGTATATAATATCAAAATCACCATACTAGTACATATATAAATTAAAACAACATTTTTTTTTTACCTCTCAAGTTAGTGATTCTATTTTTTAATGATAATTCCTAGTGTGGGTGTGGATATGAGAAATTTGATATTTCTGCATTGCTGAGTTGGTAGGTGTATGATTGGTAAAACCTCTCTGGAGAACAATTTTGTCATAGATATCTTGCCTTAAAAATTATTACTTTGTCTTGTAAACATTGTTACCTTTTAACCTAGCATTTCTACACTAAGAAAGTTATTCTAATGAAATATTCGCATGCCTGCACATTTATTTTGTAAGGATATTTGCTCGAGTAATTATAGCCATGTATAAATTGGCAGCAATCTAAATATGCCTTCTGAGCGGATGGCTATAGTGAGTTGGAACAATTAACTTTGTTACTTTATCCTCAAACACACAATACTTCATTGTAGGATCTAAAATTGCTTTCAGAAGTAGGGTCCCTACACTGCCAAGTCAAGGCTTGACTTGAGAGCATAGATGGGAGGTCATTCAGAGGCTTATAAAACCATTGAAGATGGCCTCCTGGGTTCTGTCTGTGAATCTTATAGCCTTGCCATAATGTGACTCTATAATGGTACATCACATAACTACAACTCTGCCACACACTGATTTAGTTTGCATTACACTGGATAGAGTAAAACTTCTTTTTATGTCTATCAGAACATCCCCATGATGGATTCCCTTCCCTTGAGAGAGCACTATCATCATCATCATCATCATCATCATCATCATCATCATCATCATCCGGATGATTTGTACTGTGTCAGTTTGTTTAAGCTTGGATCTAGTTTCCAGAACTCCCTTCTCTAAATAGTTCTGGGTTACAGTTGGTTAAAGGAGATACTTGCATAAGATTTGGAGGATGGAAATAAAGCAGCAGCCATTATCTTTTGAAGGCTGTTTTAGTCTTATATAGTGATGAACAGATGTAGGGGTGATTCCTCTTTTTTCTTTCCTCTGCTCCACTTTTAGCTCTTCTTATCAATTTTGGACTATATTGACCAAAAACAGCTCCAGGAAAAAGCTGGTCTGAGGATCTACAGTGGTGAGACCTACATGGAAAAGGTATCTTCTTGTAGACTTCCTAAGAACTTTGCCTTAATAGTTCGGGGTTTCCAAATAAAATACAAGATCCTCATTTAAATTTGAATTTCAGATAAACAACAAATACTTTTTATATAAATATGTCCCTGATACTGCAAGAGCTAATCATAGCAAGGGAATATTGGGAATAGTCTAATTGCCCATAATAGTCCTGAATAGGTTGGAGGAATCATCTTGACACTTTATCCTCAAACCCATAGTCCTTTACTGCAGGGGCATACTCATAAAAAATTGTTTGTTGTTCATTTGAAATTTTGATTTAATTGGGCATTCTGTAGTTTTTACTTGCTGGATCTGACTCTTCTAGTTTTGGTGGATTGATATGCTTGGTTTTAGATTAAACTATCTCCTGACCCCTTCTCCAAGCCTCTAGCTCCTTTTCCAAACATTAACTCCTCCAGCATCTTCTACAGTTGTGTAAGGTATACTTCCTAGAATAAATTGCATCCCCTACAATACTCACACTAACTCTGTTCCTCTGATTTTCAATTTTTACTGCAGTAATCATGATAACAATAGAAAACTACAGTAAATTCTAAGGTTTATTGAATAGAACTCTATGCCAAACCCTATATTAAGCACTTTGCAATACTCTGTATTGGTTACTGTTATTTACTCCCATTTAAATCTAATACATTTTAGAATTTAATTAAGACATGCCATTTATATAACAATTTCCATTGATCTCAGATATTCTATGCTCTTTTTTTCCCTCCTTATTTTTCCTTGAAGCAAATGTGAAGTGAGTTAAATTCTATGCTCTTCTTTTTTCCTTCTCTATTCTTTATTAAAGCAAATGTGAAGTGAGTTAATTATTTCAGACATCTGTATCTGATAAGAAAAGAAACTGAGTCACCAAATGATTTAGAGGAACTTTAAAAGTCATATATTGAGTTAATGGAACACTTGGGAGTAGAATTTACCATCTTTGAGATTCCAAACTGCTGTC